GGACGGGGCCAGGTGCCGGGGGAGGGGGCGGCTGCCACCGGAGGGGGTCGGGGTGGAGCGGGAAGAGGCTGGGAATGAGCCGGGAGGGGGCCGGGTGTGAAGGGAGGGCTGGCGGGGGGGGCTCGGGTTGGTCGGGGCGAGCCCTCGGCCCAGCGCTTCCTTTCTTCCCTCACCTTCTCCGTTTCCCTTTTCCCTTTCTTTTCTCCCTTCCCTTTTTTTTCTCCCCTTCTCCGCTGCCCTTTTCCCGCTCCATTTCCCCTCTCCCGTATCCCCGTTCCCGTAGCGCTCCGGTTCCCGGGCAGGCCGGGCCGCTGAGGGCTCGCCGGGTTCCGCAGCTCCTCTCCCTGTGCCGCTCTTCCCGCAGCTTCTGAACCTATTCCCGCTTTTCCCCCAGCTCCTGACCCTATTCCCTTTTTCCTCGCAGCTCCTGACCCTATTCCCCATTTCCCCCAGCTCCTGACCCTATTCCCTCCTTCCCGCAGCTCCTGAAGCTATCCCCGTTTTTCCTCAGCTCCTCACCCCGTTCCCTCTTTTCCCCCCACTCCTGACCTTATTCCTGCCTTTTCCTCAGCCCCTAACCCTATTCCCTCTTTCCCCCCAGCTCCTGACCCTACTCCAGCAGCTCCTGACCCTGTTCCCCCTTTCCCCCCAGCTCCTGACTTTTTTTCCCGTTTTCCCTGCAGCTCCTGACCCTATCCCTCACCTCTTGACCCTATTCCCTCTTTCCCCCCAGCTCCTGACCCTATGCCCATTTTTTCCTGCATCTCCTGACTTTATTCCCGTTTTCCCTGCACCTCCTGACCCTGTTCCCTCTTTTCTCCCAGCTCCTGACTTTATTCCCACTTTTCCCCCACCTCCTGACCCTATTCCCGTTCTCCCCCCAGCTCCTGACTCTAGTCCCATTTTTTCCTGCATCTCCTGACCCTATTCCCGTTTTCCCCGCAGCTCCTGACCCTGTTCCCTCTCTTCCCGCAGCTCCTGACGCTGTTCCCGTTCTCCCGTGCAGGCACCGAGCCATGCGGAGCTGGGGCGTGCTGGGGGGCGCGGCGGCGGCGCTGGCGGCCGGGATTTACGTCCTGTGGGGCCCCATCACGGGCAGGAAACGGCGGCGGAGAGGTACCGGAGGGGCCGGGGCTGCCTTCATCCCGTTTTTCCAGCTGGCTGGGCGGGATTTTGGGATGGAACTCTTCGCCGGGAGGTTCTTCCCTGCGGTTGCTCCATCCCTGGAAGTGCCCAAGGCTGGGTTGGAAAGGGTTTGGAGCAGCCTGGGGCGGTGGAAGGTGGGGTGGGATGAAATCCAAGATTCCTCCCCAAACCATTCTGGGGTTCTGTTTTCAGTTTGTGGAGTTTCAGTTGGGTTTTTGGGGTTTCACAAGACAAGATTCATTCAAGGAAGGGAAATTTCCTTTCAGGAGAGGAAGTGAAATATTGGAGTGGAAAAGAAAGACTTATAAACACTCTGGAAAGTTCTCCCCCCAGCTCCTGACTCTAGTCCCATTTTTTCCTGCATCTCCTGACCCTATTCCCGTTTTCCCCGCAGCTCCTGACCCTGTTCCCTCTCTTCCCGCAGCTCCTGACGCTGTTCCCGTTCTCCCGTGCAGGCACCGAGCCATGCGGAGCTGGGGCGTGCTGGGGGGCGCGGCGGCGGCGCTGGCGGCCGGGATTTACGTCCTGTGGGGCCCCATCACGGGCAGGAAACGGCGGCGGAGAGGTACCGGAGGGGCCGGGGCTGCCTTCATCCCGTTTTTCCAGCTGGCTGGGCGGGATTTTGGGATGGAACTCTTCGCCGGGAGGTTCTTCCCTGCGGTTGCTCCATCCCTGGAAGTGCCCAAGGCTGGGTTGGAAAGGGTTTGGAGCAGCCTGGGGCGGTGGAAGGTGGGGTGGGATGAAATCCAAGATTCCTCCCCAAACCATTCTGGGGTTCTGTTTTCAGTTTGTGGAGTTTCAGTTGGGTTTTTGGGGTTTCACAAGACAAGATTCGTTCAAGGAAGGGAAATTTCCTTTCAGGAAAGGAAGTGAAATATTGGAGCAGAAAATAAAGACTTATAAACACTCTGGAAAGGAGACGTGAGAAATGAAATGCAGTTGGAAAAAACTAATTGAGAAATTTAGTGATTACAAGAAAATGGTCTGGGAGGAGATGAGGTGCAGTGAAAAGGACCAAAACATGCCAAAACTGACCTCAGAGATGTTACAAAACCAGGGGAAAAAATCAAGGAGGAATACAGAACACTGAGGTGAAAATATGAGTGAAATGGCATGGATATTGAAAAAAAAAAAAATTGTGCCAAAGTGAAAGCCATCTAAAGGCATGGGATGCCATGGAATGCAGGGATATGGACCACAGCTTGCCAGAATTGATTGGCAATTGAAATGGCATGGATACGATGGAACTCTTCGCCGGGAGGTTCTTCCCTGCGGTTGCTCCATCCCTGGAAGTGCCCAAGGCTGCGTTGGAAAGGGTTTGGAGCAGCCTGGGGCGGTGGAAGGTGGGGTGGGATGAAATCCAAGATTCCTCCCCAAACCATTCTGGGGTTCTGTTTTCAGTTTGTGGAGTTTCAGTTGGGTTTTTGGGGTTTCACAAGACAAGATTCATTCAAGGAAGGGAAATTTCCTTTCAGGAGAGGAAGTGAAATATTGGAGTGGAAAAGAAAGACTTATAAACACTCTGGAAAGGAGACGTGAGAAATGAAATGCAGTTGGAAAAAACTAATTGAGAAATTTAGTGATTACAAGAAAATGGTCTGGGAGGAGATGAGGTGCAGTGAAAAGGACCAAAACATGCCAAAACTGACCTCAGGGATGTTACAAAACCAGGGGAAAAAATGAAGGAGGAATACAGAACAGTGAGGTGAAAATATGAGTGAAATGGCATGGATACTGAAAAAAAAAAAAAGATTCCTCCCCAAACCATTCTGGGGTTCTGTTTTCAGTTTGTGGAGTTTCAGTTGGGTTTTTGGGGTTTCACAAGACAAGATTCGTTCAAGGAAGGGAAATTTCCTTTCAGGAAAGGAAGTGAAATATTGGAGCAGAAAATAAAGACTTATAAACACTCTGGAAAGGAGACGTGAGAAATGAAATGCAGTTGGAAAAAACTAATTGAGAAATTTAGTGATTACAAGAAAATGGTCTGGGAGGAGATGAGGTGCAGTGAAAAGGACCAAAACATGCCAAAACTGACCTCAGAGATGTTACAAAACCAGGGGAAAAAATCAAGGAGGAATACAGAACACTGAGGTGAAAATATGAGTGAAATGGCATGGATATTGAAAAAAAAAAAAATTGTGCCAAAGTGAAAGCCATCTAAAGGCATGGGATGCCATGGAATGCAGGGATATGGACCACAGCTTGCCAGAATTGATTGGCAATTGAAATGGCATGGATACTGAAAAATAAAATTAAAAATATGTCCCACAGTGAAAGCCATCCAAAGGCAAGGACATGGACCAAAGCTTGCCAAAATTGATCCTCACTGAAGTATTGGAAACAGAAAAGAAGGGCTTACAAACACTCTGGAAATGAGATATGATCAAATTAAATGCACTTGAAAAAAAAAAAAAAGAGGGGATGGATACTGAAAAAAATTAGTGAAACTGAAATTTTTGAAAGACCAAAATTCAACTGAAACACCACGAACTGAAAAGTGAACTAACTGCAACCCATTTCTCTGTAACTACACAGCATTCCTGCTGAACCCCAGGGTGCTGGCCCTGGATTTCGTGGTGCCAACTCTGCAATTCTCTCGGCAGGGCTCGTGCCAGGCCTGCTGAACCTGGGCAACACGTGCTTCATGAACTCCCTGCTGCAGGGCTTGTCCTCCTGCCCCTCGTTCATCCGCTGGCTGGAGGAGTTCACAGCCCAGTACAGCTCGGAGCAGGAGCAGCCCCAGCAGCTCTCGGTGACTCTGCTGCAGCTCCTCAGAGGTACTGGGACATCTCCTGTTCTAAACCAGGGGTGAAATGGTAAAGGAGAAATGTTTTCGTTTTTAGACTCTTTTCCCAAAGAAATAAACCCCCACGAGCTTCTGTTCCCTGTTTTATTTCACTCTCTGATTTTAAAATTAATTGGAATGTCTTGGGTAAAGCTCAGCCACCTTTCACAGAAGGGTTGAATTCCACAGGATTCAAGAAATTTAGAATTCTGTTAAAAAAATTATTAGCAAATAATTTAAGCTTTTTTGTTTTCCCCAAGCTTGCTATTGTTCTAAAAACCTGGGACTATTCAACCTCACTTTGCAAGGTTTTGAGTATTAAAACTTAAATTAAAATATTATTATAAAAGATAAAATAGAAACTTTTATATAAATATAAGATATTATTATATAATAAATAATATGCTTTATGTAATAAAATTATATAAGAAATAAATTACATAAATAGATAAATTAATAAATAATTAAACCATATAGGTACATTTATATGTATTAATTATATATAGTTTCTTTTATTATATTAATATCTGTTTACATAATAGGTATTATATAACATACAAAATATTATTATAAAATATAAATGATAAAAGATTAAATATAAAGTATTATAGAAATAGAAAATATTATAATAAAATAAATAACATAATTCAATATAATAAATTTATATAATAAATTATATTAATAGATAAATGAATAAGTAAATAAACTGTATCAATAAATTGATATAATAGATATATAAGATACAAAATGTTATTATAAAAATAAGCTGTAAAATATATAAATATAGAGTAGCCTTATAAAAGGAACAATATAATTTTATATAAATTTATATAATAAATTATATAAATAAATAAACTAATTAATAAATAACTATATAAATAAATTTATATAATAAATATTATGTAAAATACAAAATATTATTACAAAATATTTAATATTTTAAGCTCAAGGTGATTAATGTTTGGCCTAAATTCATCTCTGACACCCTCAATGACCCCCTGGCTTCCCTCAGGTTGTTTTCAAAGGAGAGTTGCCCTTGGGCCGTTCCTGTGGCAGTGGTGTGAGGCTGCTGGTGCTCCAACCCCACAAACCCCAGGATTTTCCCCGTTTTTGCCGCTGCTGACGCTGCCGCGTTCCCTTTTGCAGCTCTGTCGTGCCAGGAGGTGCCCGAGGACGATGTCCTGGATGCCAGCTGCCTGCTGGAGGTGCTCAGGGTGAACAGGTGGCAGATCTCCTCCTTCGAGGAGCAGGTGAGTGCAGCAGGCTGGGCTGGCAGCCCTGGCTCCTGCTCCACAAACGGAGGGGAGGTTCCCCAGCCTGGGAATGGGGCTGGGATTGCTCAGGGAGCTCCAAGCCTTGCCCTTGCCAGCAGGGCCAGGATATTGCAGCACAGCAGCTCCCTGAGCTCCCTCTGGATAATGGATCTCTTCCCATCTTTTCAGTAATCCTAATTATTTGCAACTCTTGTCAGGATTTCCAATGCACTCCATCAATTATCCCACTCCTAAAATATATTCCAAGGAGAGATTTCAGTTATGCTTCCCCCAAAATCCAGGAAAACAGGGATCTGGGAATTCACCTGGGGGTATTTTTTCCTCCCAAGTGTTTTAGTTTTTTATGAGTTTACATGGCCCAGGATGTCTTTAGTACCTTGTGCTGTTAGGAAGCTTTTGGGCACAACAAAATGTATTCAATATTAACACAAATATAATAATAATAATAGTCATCATCATCAATATAAAATAATTATAATATATAGATATATATAATATATCTATATATAAAAAAGTTGTATATAATAGTAATTATATGTAAAAGTGATATATAATAGTAATTATATATAACGATTCTATATAATTTATATAAAATATAATATATACATTTAAAATATAATTGAATAAATATATTTAATACAGCTATTTAGAAACGTTATTTTTCATTATTTATATTTAGTATGTACTTATATATTTTATATTTATATATAATATATATTATATAATCATGTCTATATATACAGATATATGTATATATACATATATCTGTATATATAGACATGATTATATAATATATATTATATAATCATGTCTATATATACAGATATATGTATATATACATATATGTATATTATTATATATTATATTTTATATTTTTATATATTATATAATATATATGTATATATTATATATGTATATGTAGATATTATTATATATTCTATATATGTAGATAGAATATATAATTTATACAATACTATATATATACATATATGTATATACATTTTAGATGTACTTAAATATAAATATAAAACATAAACTATAGATCTAAACCAGAAATCTACATATAAAATTATACATCTATAAATACAAATATCAATCCAGGCTCTGAGCTGTGATTTTCCCTGCATTCCCTGTGGAATTCCAGCCCTCCTGGGGTGGTTTTTGATGTCTCTTCCTTCTGGCTCCATTTGCAGGATGCCCACGAGCTGTTCCATGTGCTGACCTCTTCCCTGGAGGACGAGCGGGATCGGCAGCCCCGTGTGACCCATCTCTTTGATGTGCATTCCCTGGAGGTGATCCCACTGATGTCCTCAGCAGAAATGCCTGCAGTCTGCCCAGATTCCCAAGAGAAGTTGTATATTTAGGATGTTTTGATTCTCTTCCCAAAGCTGTTCTTTAATCCTTTGATAGGGACTCATCAATAAGTCAAATTTAAAGAATTCTCAGGTTTTCCAAAGAAAATTTGTTTGAATTTCCAGTGCAGGATGTAGGGATTTCATTTAGTCTCTCCAAGCATTTACTCTGATCTATAGTTCCCACCCGAAAAAGGGTTGAAAACTGCAAAGAGGGATTTCTGGAAGAGTTTTATGGAGGTAAATTGATCCTATCCTCCAGCTTGCTGATAAACTTGTTGCAGATGGAAAATACCTGGTTTTGCCTAAAATGTAGACAAAAAAAAAGACAAAATCTCCTATTTTAGTGTTCTGAGGCAGAGAGTTCTGCAGATTAATGATTCCTTTTACAAGCAATTGTCAATTATAAATTTGGTTTGTACCAGATTTTTTTGTTCTTGCAAATATAAAGAGCCACATTTTTTTTCTAATGCCAGAAAAGCCAACTAGGGATGAAATAGGAACACATTTAATACTTCATGTATTAAATTTCTAAGTCTTTTCTATGTTGCTGAGGTAGGGTTAATGAAATGTTTTTATCTCCCTCTGTAGCAACCAGAAATAATCCAAAAGCAAATAAGCTGCAGAACAAGAGGTAGGATTTTATCCCTTCTGGATATTCTGAATATTCATAGGCTAGCTTTGTTTATTAAAGGGATAATATTAATTGATCTTTGTACTGAACTGAAATAGAAATCAAAAATATAAATAAATCTCCATTAATTACTAATCACTGAGACAAAAAAATGTTCTTTGGAGGCATTAATTTTGTTACTGCAGGGCAAAAGTGTGGGATTGGAGTGGTGAAAGTGGATGGATGGAAAATCCAAGGACAATTTTTGTGTTGCAGGATCTCTTCCCCCTGTGTCAAACCACTGGAAATCTCAGCACCCTTTCCATGGAAGGCTGACCAGCAACATGGTCTGCAAACACTGTGAGCACCAGGTGTGGAAAAAGATAATATTTGATATTGTTATTAATATCTGTGTCATGGGAGGAGGGATTGCCAACACTCAGAGTGCTTCCTGGAACCATCATCCCTTGGTCATGAACAAGGATTTGTCCCTAAATAGACTAAAAAAATCCATGTGATGCACCTTGTGGGGGTAACAGCTGCCTCATCGACCAGAATAACGGATGCTTTATTCCATTAATGAATTAACAATTAATTCATTAATAATATTACCTGAAAATCCACTCACATGGGTGAGTTTAGGACTCGCTGCTCATCCAGCACGTTTTGCAAAGGCACTTAAAGTCCAATTATTCCAAATAAGGAGATGAAGATTGCCTGAACAATGGAAAAAATACAGAAAATAAACCTCATTGATAGCCCAAAGCAAGGAAACATTTGTATCTTATTTCCCAAAACCTTGCAAACAAATTGCAGTGAGGAGGAGGAGGCCAAGCAGAACATTCCTGATATTCCCTGGCCCAGCTGGAAAACTGAGAGTTTGAATCCTGTTCCAGCAGGGAATTGTGGACAGCACAGGGCACAGGCTCACCTTGGGAGAGCTGGGCTGGATTTTTGGGGACTGATGATGCCTTTAAGGCTCCCTAGAACAGAGGCTACACAGTGTTAAAGAATAAAGTAGATATTTGTTAAAAAGGCCTTCACAGGATACACCTTGGGCAGTACAAGAGCCTGGCCAGGGCTACACCCAAGGTGGTCACGAGTTTTCACACTTTTTTATCAGTTTTGCACCATTTCCATATTGGGGTTAATTGTGCAATCACAGCTTCAGGTTATGCAGTCCCATCCCCCCAGTTTGCTCTCCTCAATTTACACTTTTTGGGCCTTTTTGTTGTTCACACTTTTTAGAAGCTGCAGCGGTGCCCTTGGTTCTGGGGCTGGAGAAGGATTGTTTTGTCTGAGTGAACTGTGAGGAGAACTTATGTGAAATTCAGAGTTGTATCCTAATGCAGTGCAGAATGTGGAAAACGTGAGAGCTAAAGCTGAAGGCATCACTGACATAAATGCTGGCATGTTCTGGAATGTTCTCTTGCAGAGCCCTGTGAGGTTCGACACCTTCGACAGCCTCTCCCTGAGCATTCCAGCAGCTGTGTGGGTACGTGTCCCTCTGCTCCTGATCCTCCCTGCCCTTCCCAGGGCTTCCTCAGCTGCAGAAGACATTCAGGGCTACTTCAGGACTTGATTTTCCTGCTCTGTTGTAATCCTGTGCTGCTGCAGGACCTTCTCCCTAAGGGGTGAGCAAGGTTCTGATGAGCCCAACAAGCAGAACTTGGTGGTGCCACCAGAGCTTTCTGTTTCTCCTGGTGGAGGATTTGGTCTTTTCTGTGGAATTTCAAGAGCCCAGATCATATCCTGCTGCTTCCCATCCTGGGAAGGTGACCTTCAGCTGGCAGCTCACACCTTACCCCATCCAGGCTTTTCCAGCTGGGAATTGTTTCCATTTCTTTCTGGCTCTGAAAAACTTCAAAGTGACAAAACATTGTGGATTTTTGGGGCAACATCTGCAGGATATTTTTGGACTGTAAGAATTTGTTACTTCATGTCTGGTAGTGATTTCTTTCCACAACTGGTGGAAATTGTGATTCCTGTTTGCAGAGTGCCCTCCTGGCCAGGCAGGATTGGGATTTGGACACATCCTCTGCTCTTGGTGTTTTATTTATCCAATCCTTGGCAGGGCAGGACATGAGGAAGGGCAGCAAGGAGGCCTAAGTTCCATTAAAAGCTGTATTTCTCCTGTGGAGAGGGCCAGAGAGCATGAAGTGACCCCTGAAGTGCTGGAATGAGGGATAAATAGGAATAGAAAAAGAATCTGTGGTTTGAAACCCCACTGAAGGACTCACACAGGGAATCACTGCTGCTGTTATCAAAAGGCTGCAAACTTTTTTATGTTTAATCCAGGCTAAAGGAGAATCCCCACAGTTCCATGATCACCCACAGCCATTTAGTCAGTTCTTTCATGAAATAAACCTGCACTTCTGTAGTTTTTCTATGGAAGAAATTATTAAAAATCCTTTCCCAAAATCCAGTGGAATGCACCCTAAAATTCCTGCAAATAATTCTGTTTTTTCTTGGCACTCAGGGTCGTCCCATGACACTGGACCATTGCCTCCATCACTTCATCTCCTCAGAGTCTGTCAAGGATGTTGTGTGTGACAACTGCACCAAAGTAGGTCCCTTTGATTCCTGTCATTTTAATTCCTGTCACCTCTCTGTTCAGTTTTGAGCCTGCTGACACAATCCTGGCTTCACTTTCCACCTTCTTTTTCTTCAGGACTTGGGGAAAGCCTCTGGGGTTTCAGATATTTAACAAGGAGTTCTTACCTCGTGAAGAATTAAAGGTTTATTACTTACTACTGCTGTTACAAAAATCTACAAATATTTTATTCTGTAGTTGCCAGGTATCACCAGGGATTTTTTTTTTGCTCTGATATTGTTTAAAAATCAACAAAAGAGGCAATTGAGTGCAGTTCTGAGTGAATGGAGTTCTCTAAATGCTCATTTCTGCTTGATTTTGGTTTAGAATTTTGACCCTTTAGGAATTCTGAAGAACATTCCTAGGTGTGATTAATGCACTGAGCATAAACCAGGCAATAAATTCCTCCTGTCTGCAGGTGCCTTCATTTTTTCCCCTTTTCATTCCAGATCCAGGCAGCAGGAATTCGGAATGGACAGAGCATAGAAAACCAGAGAACAACATTTGTTAAGCAATTAAAGTTAGGAAAGGTGAGGCAAAAAACTCCTCCAAATCTCCTAAATCCTGTCACAGTAACTTCCCTCTTGAAGCTGGTTGTGTCCATTTCTTGCTGTCAGACCACAAATGTTTTATTTTTCAAAGTAAACTCACCTGGCAAATATCTGTGGGCATTGAGGCTTCAACTCAGCAAAACATCAAACATTAAACACTTACAGGATGTGAATATTCTCCTTTTATTTAGCAAAACACTTAAATGTGAGTTTGGCTTAGTGCCATTTCGTAGATTTTACATTAATTCTTCAGTGAGCAAATTGATTTATATTTACAGGATTTGTAGCATCTTTAGCAAATTCTCATTTCAGAGAAATTTAACTATTCTGAATACAGCTGGTGAGTAAACATCAGGTGAGATTTCCAAGAGAAAACTTTTTTTTTTTTGCTCTGTAATCCTGTCATGCAGAGGCCAGCAGGGCACTGGTGTGTAATTAGGAGCCTCAGGTGCCAATTATAATAATAATTATAATAATAATTATGTACTTCTTGCTACAGCAATGGTTTTGCATTTCAGCTCTTTATAACACTTAATGTTTTTGGCTTTCCCCTGTGCAAAACCATTAATTTTTGGGGATTAGGAGATATCAGGAATCTCACAAGAATTATTGTCACACTTTAGGGACACTGTTGCCACTGAGCTTACACAGAGATAAGGGACATGCATTTCCTTATTGCCTGGACTTACCAGCTGTTTCTTTCCATGAAAAATGGATTTTCCTTTCCTGAAGCTGCCCCAGTGTTTGTGCATCCACCTGCAAAGGCTGAGCTGGTCAAACCAAGGCACTCCCCTGAAGAGACACGAGCACGTGCAGTTCAGTGAGTTCCTGGTCATGGACATCTACAAATATCGGGTTCCTGGTCCCAAATCCTGCCAGGAGCAGAAAAACTCTGAGGAGACAACCCCTGGAATCAAGGATGGGAGAGCAGGGAAACCTTCAGGTACCTCTTTTGCCAATAAAATGGTTCAGCTCTTTCTGCATGTCAGGGATCAAGTGTTCTCTGCAGGATCAAGCCATGAGCAGCATTTTGATGTGGGGCTCTGCAAAGAGGACAGAAATCCCTTTGCCATTCCCAAATTTACAGTTCAGTTTGGATAATTTCATTTTGATCCTACTAAATATATATATTTAAAAAAAGAAATGTCCAAAGGGGTGTTGAACTTGGGATGTCCCATGGTTTTTTTTTGTTAGAGGTCTATTCCAAGGCTTCAGGACAAGCAGAGAGGGAATTCTGGGAGTGATGGATTCTTCAAAAACAGTTGGAAAATCCAGCTGTAGAAGTCTGTCCTTAGGCACCTCAATATTCCTTTAGTTGGGATTTTGGATGCGTGGGTATTTCCATATTTGTCATGTAAAACGAATTTGAATAAAATGTCCCTTGGCTTTGGGTATGAAAATCAATAAAATACCTTCATATCCCGTGATGAGGGGCAGGGATGTTGATCTTAGAAACAGCATTCCAATTAAATCCCTGAATTTCTCCTTCCTCTGGCAGATGCAGAACAACCAGCTGGTACCAAACCTCTCTTCATGAATGGTGCCTCCTCTTCCTCCTCCTCCTCTCCCTCATTTTTAATGTCCCCAGGAACTTTCCCACTTGCTGCATTCCCTGAGTGCAGGTAAGTTAGAGATTTGTACCCTCTCTCTTAATTTCTTTCTTTCAAATTGTCTCCCTTTCTTCTGTCCTTGTCCTGAGGCTGCCCAGTCACAGAATCCCAGCTCCTGTGATTTTAGTCCTGGGAAAGGGAGTAGGGCAAGTTACAAGCAAAACTCAAAATCTTCCTGTTTATGGTGCTTCTGAACAGCCATAACCTCATTGCTGCTGGTTTCCTCTAGCCCTTATTTTCCTTCATTTTCAAGTGGTTGTAAGAAATCCATAGTTTTTTTTCTCAGATGTTTTTGATTTCAGTTGCACCTGCCATGATTCCACTTGATAAATCACCCTTGGGGCTTCTGCTGATAATCCTTTTCCATAGAATTCCAGAATGGGTTAGGTTGGTAGGGAACTTAGGGACCATCCAGTGCAGCCCTCTTCCCATGGGCAGGGACACCTTCCACTATCCCAGGTCACTCCAAACCCATCCAGCCTGTCCTTGAGTACTTCCAGGGATGGAGCAGCAGGTTTGAATCCCATAATCCCAGAATGGTTTGGGTTGAAAGGAGACTTGGAGATGCCATGGGCAGGGACACCTTTCACTATCCCAGTTGCTCCAAACCCCATCCAACCTGGCCTTAGACACTTCCAGGGATGGAGCAGGAGGAGAAAGCAGTTTGGATCACAGAATGGTTTGGGTTGGAAGGGAACTTGGAGATCATCCCATGCCACCACTTACCATGGGCAATGACACCTCCCACCAGACCAGGGACAGAGCAGCCACACAGGGAGGAATTCCTTGCTCCAGGCAGGAACTGTGGCTGCTCTGCTGCGTGTGTGTGTGTGGCCAGGCTGACCCGTGTCCCCGCAGGGCCCCGCTGTACCTGTACCGCCTGATGGCCGTGGTGGTGCACCACGGGGACATGCACTCGGGACACTTCGTCACCTTCCGGCGCGCGCCGGGCGCCCGCGGCAGCCAGTGGCTCTGGATCTCGGACGAGTCGGTGCGCAGGGCCAGCCTGCACGAGGTGCTGGCTGCCAGCGCCTACCTGCTGTTCTACGAGCGCGTGCACGGCCGGGGCCAGCCCCAGAGCCCGGCCCACAGCTGAGCCAGCAGTGGGGTCCCAGGTCTGGGGTCGTCCCAGCCCTCAGGGTCGTCCCAGCCCCTGGGACCATCCCAGCCCTCGGGGTCATCCCAGCCCCTGGAACCATCCCAGCTCTCAGGGTCATCCCAGCCCTCGGGGTCATCCCAGCCCTCGGGGTCATCCCAGCCCTCGGGGTCATCCCAGCCCTGGGACCATCCCAGCCCTCAAGGTCACCCCAGCCCTTGGGGTCATCCCAGCCCTTGGGGTTATCCTCATCCCAGCCCCTCAGGATGGTCCCAGCCCCTTGGATTATCCCAGCCCCTGGGATGGCCCCAGTCCCTGCGATGGTCCAGCCCTCGGATGGAGCCTCTCCATTATGCAAACCTCCCCCTCTCCAGGCTCCCTTCCCGGTGGGAGCAGCTGGGAGTTGTGCTTTGTGCCCAAGTCCTGCTGTTGTGGCACCGTGCAGCCCTGGGTGTGTGTTGAGAAGTGTTTTCTGCCTGTCCCAAGGCTCTGTTCCATGTCCTGACACTGCACTTTTCCCAGGGAGATGCTTTATCCCACACATTTCACTTCCCAAGGGGGAGCCCTGGAAAGGGTTGATGTCACACTGCTGTTGAGCCCCTCCCCATCCCAATCCCTCCCCTGGCACCTCTCCATGATCCACCAGCCCCTCCAGGTTCCCTTCCCTGTGGCAATGGCTGGGAATTGTGTTTTGTACCGAAATTCCCAGAGCTGTTCCAGCCCCGAGCGTGTGTTGAGCAGCCTTTGTCTGTCAGGCAGGGGTTTTATCCCAAGGCTCTATTCCCAGTGTTTCCCAGTGGGGAGCCCTGGGAGGGGGTGATGGGAAGCTGCTGTTGGCAAGGATTTAAGACACAAAGTGCCTTGAGCTTCCCTGAACAGCTGCACTGCCACTGGCCCAGCCCTCTGCATGCCCACTGTGTCCTGGGCATCCCTCACACCCAGGGATGAACCCATGGAATCCCATTTCTCCTGACCCATCAAGACAAGGCTTCTCCACAAACTGCCCCCATCCAAAAGATTTCCCTGTTCACACACTTTTCCTCCTGCTTTACTTCTTTATATTATAAAATCCATCTCCTGATTTAAATTGCTTTATCCAGGAGATAATTTTGTATCTGTTAAGAGCTGAAACCTTAATTTATTGCTCCATACCTTTGGAATCCAGCTGGAATCAGCACATGGAAGTGTTTGCTAGTGCTCAGTGTTGTCATTTCCTTCAGCACTGTTGAATCCAGTTGTTTTGTAGCATCAACTACAACTTTTAATGCTGTGATTTTCAAGCTGCTGTAACTGTTCTAGACTTGCCCTTCCCATTTTATTGCTGGAATCTGCTGTTCCCAGCACTGGGATCCATGCTCCTGGCTTGCAGCTGAGCTGTAGAGCAGCCCCTGGCCTTGTTAAATGGAATATAAATACGAGGGCCAGGACTGGTGGGCACTTACTGGTCTCATGAAGAAATCTGGGAATCCTGCATCAGCTCCAGGCTGCCCTGTAAATAGAAATAAGGGGAATTCTGCTGCTCTGGATTGGTTGATGTGCAAAAAAGAAAAAAAAAAAAAAATCCCAAAGCACAGAGGGAAAAGCAGCAAAAATCCTCTTTTAAAAACCTGCTTTTAAATGACCAGGAATAAAATATGTAGGTTGTTTTTAGCTCTTTTCTGTCCTTGTAAGCTTGGAGGAGAAAAAAATCCCTCATCAGACAAGCTTTTTTCAGTGTGAAGTTTTCAAATAACAACTGTCTTAAGTAGTTTTTTTAGGGCAACTTTGTACCTCATGAATTCATAGTGCTGCCCAAAGCTCGGGGGTGTTCACAGTTCCTCAGGAGAGGCTCCAAACCAGCCAAAGCAGGAGTGGTGAAATGGGTGGATATGCAAAATTATTTACACAACTCATCATTCCAGAGTCTGGAGCACAATTCCTGGCCCAGGTCATGCTCATGGTACAGAAATATTGATAAATCCACTGCTGGACTGGGACCTGGGTCCTGGCTGTGCTGCACGAGCAGTACCTTGGTTTTAATCTGTTTGAATTTACAGAAAACCAAGAAAACAAACAAAAGAAACCCCCTGAAGGATACAAAATGCCAAAAATTTTCTCTGACCATTGAAGGGAGAGCTGACAGAGCTGGAGGAGGAGCCAGCCCTCCCTACTGGGAGCCATCTAAAACCATCACCCACCATCTGCCTCCAGCAGATCTGCCCCTGCACCTCTGAACTGACACCATTTCCAGTGCCAGCTGTGGCTGTCCTGCATTCTCCAGGCTCAGAGCTCTGCCTGGGACTTTTTCCTGGATTTGGGGGGTTTCTCCTGGATTTGGGGGCTCAGCTGAGCAGCCTCTTGGCTTGGTTGTGCTGGAGGAGGGGCAGAGGACACGCACACTAAGGACTAAACCTGGCAGCTGGGAGCAGCAGGTTTTCTTTGCCAAGAGCTGTTTCCCTGGGCTGTGGAATGATTCTGGATCTCCCTCAAGGGCTATCAAGGGGAGGTTGGCCTTTTTTTCTGGCTTTGCTTGGCGGGGAGGAGTAAATGGGCTTGGCTTAACCCTCAGGTGAGAAAGGGAGCAAAGCTCTGGTCCTGAGCTGTGTCAGCTCCTCCCTGTGAGCTGGGGATCTGTGCAGGGCTTTGGGAGCTCATCCTCCTCTCTGAAGGTCACTGGGATCTGTTTTCCACCCAGCCACACCTGTGGAGATCACTGGAATTTGTGCAGGTGTTTGGGAACCACCCTTTGCAGGTGCCAGGGCTCTGTGTTTGCCAGCCCAGCCTCCCTGTGGAGGTCACTGGGATCTGTCTTTCCAGAGGTCACAGAGCTCTGTTTTCCAGCCAAATCTCCCCTCTGGAAGTCACTGGGATCTGTTTTCCAGCCAGACCTCCCCTCTGGCAGGGCTCTGTGCAGCCACAAAGCTCCAGCGCTGGTACTCGTCCCTCCCAAGCTGCCATGGTGGAGAAGATGTTAATAAATTGTAAAGAATTAAGAGCTCCAAGATGATATTTCTGTGTTTGGGTTATTCTTGTCTTATTTTGTGTGTTAATTTAAAAATGTCTGTTCCAGTCCAAGCACTGCACTGCTGTTTGAAGTTGCTTTTTTTTCCACTTCAGGGTATTTTTGTAATTGTACAGTAGCAATAAAAGAACAAACTTGGTAGAAAAATCAGTGTGGGAATGTCTTGAAACAAACACCAAGCTGGGAGCCAAAGGGGTTGAAACAACACTTCATAAGAAAGATTTTCAAGCTCCACAGAGCATCTCAGAGTGGCAGAAGGTGGGAAGTACCAATTCCCAATTCTCTGCACAAGCCTTAATCCCACAGGAATAATTCCACTGGAGGTCAGAGCCCAGCACTGATTCCAGTGGCTGCAGCCAGGTTACACAGGATTTGGTTCCCATTCTCACCCAGAATTTACCATTCCGTGATGGTTTAAGATCTCTTGGGGACTGGACAGAATTCCCTCATTTTCAGCAGGATTCCCTGTGGTGTGGGAGGTGGTGGCTTTCAGGCAGTCAGGAGGGGATCCCTAGGGATAATTATTTAGGAAATACACTCTCAGAGTGACAGTGGAGATGGGACAACCCAGTTCTTCCCCACAAGGGCATTTTTTGCTGCCTGGTTTTTGTACAAAGTACCTGAAGGAGGAAAAACCTTGTGCTTCCTCCTGCAAGAGCAACCTTCCTCAAAAGAAGAGGAATTCAAGCAGACAGGAGTGAACACTCATCCAGCCACACCCTGTCCTCACACCTCAGCACTCCCCTTCTCCATGTCAGGCTCATTTTGCTTTATTTTAATTTAAAAAACCCGAGCAAACCAGAGCTCTTTGACAGAAAGTGCCACCTGCAGAATATCAGCTTTACACGATCACAGCTTGTGGCTCACAGTGTGTATAAACTGCTGCCTCCAGGCTGTGGAGCGTTTCCATCTTCTTGGAACACTGCTCAGATAAAGATCAGCTAAGAAGAAACTTCTTCCTGAGCAAAACAAGGGGAGCTATGGAGCGTTTCCATCTTCTTGGAACACTGCTCAGATAAAGATCAGCTGAGAAGAAACTCCTTCCTGAGCAAAACCAGGGGAGCTACGGAGCGTTTCCATCTTCTTGGAACACTGCTCAGATAAAGATAACTGAGAAGCAACTCCTTCCTGAGCAAAACAAGGGGAGCAGTCAGCAAAAACAGCGATCAGCAGGACCAGAGCAACGTTTCCCAGAGGAAAACCAGATCAGTGGTCAGGCTTCAGCAGCAAAATGACCAAATTCTGTCCATTAGGTGACGGCCTAGCTAAGAAGAAACTCCTTCCTGAGCAAAACAAGGAGAGCTGCTGAGCATTTCCATCTTCTTGGAACACTGCTTGGATAAAGATAACTGAGAAGAAACTTCTTTCTAGCAAAACAAGGGGAGCTACGGAGCGTTTCCATCTTCTTGGAACACTGCTCAGATAAAGATCAGCTGAGAAGAAACTCCTTCCTGAGCAAAACCAGGGGAGCTACGGAGCGTTTCCATCTTCTTGGAACACTGCTCAGATAAAGATCAGCTGAGAAGAAACTCCTTCCTGAGCAAAACAAGGGGAGCAGTCAGCAAAAACAGCGATCAGCAGGACCAGAGCAACGTTTCCCAGAGGAAAACCAGACCAGTGGTCAGGCTTCAGCAGCAAAATGACCAAATTCTGTCCATTAGGTGACGGCCCAGGAGGTGAATCCACAATGCACCTGCTGCAACAGCTGAGCCCACAGCCCCAGCAGGAGCTGAATTCACTTTCCAGCGCCCAAAGGCTGCACGCTGCCGCGCTGGGACGCGGGCAGGACGTTCCTGAAGGTGAGGTTGACCCTGGGGGCCAGCACCCTCCTGCGCGGGGGCAGGCTGTGGTGCCAGTGCAGGTTGGTGGGGTGCCTCATGAGCAGCAGGCTGCCGTGGGCCAGCGCCAGGCTGATCCTGGCGGGGCCCGCAGCCCCCGGCCCGCCCCGGCGGCGGAACACGAAATCCCGGCAGGCCCCGAAGGACACCGAGGCGATGGGGCTGAGGGGAGCCAGCTCCTTCTCGTCGTCACGGTGCTCCCCGATGTGGTCCAGGCCGTCTTTGTACCTGGGGAGTCACTCGGGTTTGGTATTCGTTGTATTTGAAATGATTTATTGTTATTAATTTAATAATGATAATCAAGTTAATATTAGTTATATTTTTATATTGTTG